CGTGTGGGAGAGAGAAAGGGGGAGCGGGGGGGACATGGCGTCCCACTGAGGCGGGGGGGGGGACAAAGGGCGGAGCGGGGGGGACATCGCGTCCCTTTTGGGGACACCTGGGACGCGTGGGAGAGGCAAAGGAGGATGCAATAAAAACAAACTAATTTCTTGAAGGAATCATAAGTATGAATATTCATAAAAGACTTAAGACAGAAGCCATGGTAATTTCTTCCACAAGTTTTCATTTGAAGGAGATAAACCCGAAGACCTGTAATACCTGACGCTGTGTACGTGCAACAGCTACAGGTAAGGGATGGATGCCAGGATTTAAATTTTGGATATGAGTAACATGCTGATGTTAGAAATGAGTGTTGGGAGATCATGATGTACCCTTGTCACAGTGAGTGTTATACCAGAGTTAGGTCACAGGAACACAAATGCTTTTAATTTATAACAAATTACACAAACATAGTATTTGAGTTATGCTCAGTGCCTACACTGTCAAACTCAAAATGTGGTTTGGGTTTGGACAGTCTGGTACAATGCTGACATTTCAAACCCTGCAGCATATGAGTAGTGCATCACAGTCTGTTCAGATGACCTCAGGGCTCTGAAATTTCTTATGCTTAAAGTTTGAAGCATGGAACTCTGCTCTTCACTGCTTTGTGCCACCTGTAAAGTCACAATTTAGGAGACTGAGGTAAATGCCAGTGGGTAGTTTTTTAGTATATCCAGTGAATTATTAACCATTGTGTAAAAGGAATACCATTCTATATTGCAGGATGAACAACAAAACCCTGGGTATTAACCTCAAATATACTGGTTTTATAGACTTGCTAGTGCCTAATTTTACTCTAGCATGGGAAAAAAACCCCAGTTGCTTCATCTAGTCTACATTTCTGTGAAGTGTGAGTTTATACTGATCTTTTTTTTTTCTCATTTTTTCAGGATATTTGACTTAAATACTGAACAACCAAATATATTCCAGGAGGAGCAGCTGGAACGTTTCAAGAAAGAATTTCCACAGTCAGCCATTTAAATCCATATCTCCACATAAATGTCATGTAGTTGCCTGGAAGAGAAATCTGTAGATAACTTGAAGAGTGTTCAAATGCAGAAGGATTAATTGTAGGTGGAATGCTGGTTTGTATCTGTTTAACTTTCACCGTTGGAACAGTTCTGTCTGTGCCTTCTGGTTGGTTCATTTTATTTTTAAGTCCCCAGATAGCAATAACTGTGTTCCTGAGAGTAGTTATTAAAATTTCAAACAGTGTTAAAATATTCAGCCATTTATAATTATTGTTCCAATAGACATGTCCAGTTTTAACTTCTTCCTATAATCAAGTCTCAAATCTTGAAAATTAATGCTTGTGTTTTTAAAAAGTAAAAATAAATTAAACAGTCTTGGAAGTGGAAGCTCAGAAACTAAATTGTTGGGAAATTACAATGATCGGATACTGAATATGCTGAAAAATTGGTTTGAATTTGTTTTTACTTACAGGCTGACAAGCTGTACCAGTTCTCTGACAATGGGAAATTAAGAGAGTGATCGCAAGATACATATAAATAGATCTGACCCGAATGATTGGTACCTCATATATTTGTGTTTGCACTGACACTTCCATCTGTACAAAGCTTTGTGCCACTTTAAAAGTAAACTGCAATGCATATTAACTCATTTTTCCCAACACTTCATTGGCCGTGTAGGCTGCTGCCATTGTTCTCTCATTTGTCAGTGCAGAGGTTCAGGGCCTGTGTAACAGCATCAAGGGTGAGCTACAAGGACAGTTTTTTTCATTAATCTCACACCTGAGGCCTGCTAAACTTTAGGGATGTTGCTAATAATTTAACAGTATTACAGAAACATCCTTAGTGGTTGAAAATCCTTTTTTCACATCAACCTTAATAAACAGAATATGTATCATGCCCAAACTCTACAAAATGCATGCTTTAGCTCTTAAGCATGAAATGTAGGTGTTTGCCAAAGTCTTTGCACCTTTACAGAGCTGTTTATGTATGAAGAGTGCAAGGACCAACTCATAATCTTCATCTTCCTTGCCTAAAACCATAAGCCTATTGTCCACAAACATTTGGAGAAAAGGCTGAACCATACATGGTTTGTCTTAGTTATGTAATGCAAGCTCATAGCTTTTCTATTTTCATTGGAGCAAGAATCACAAGTGTACTGATGTCAAATAATTGGTATTCTGTGGGCTGGTATTTCTATCCTCTGTAATTTATCACAGAGTCAAGTTTGGAGGTCTGAACAGGTCTATTTGCCTCTCCTTTTTCTCCTGAAGTTGCAGGTCATGCCAACACAACAGCTGGAACTTCCTATTGAAGTGTTCATGTAGAATAACAATGGAAAATATTTTTTTCTCTTGTAACTGACACTGAAAACAATTGTGTATACTCTGCAGTATGTATATATATTATTTATATACAGTCATCACTGCACAGAACTGATTGTACAGAGAGTAAAGCCATCACAAGTGCTTGAGCCTGCCCTGCTGAGCAGTTGGAGACAAACAGCTTGCACATTTCGGCATTGAAAATTCGTTTGTCCTGCACAAACAGCATTGTAACGATCGGGTATCTGGAAGCTGTCTAAAATAAAATAAAATTAAATTAAACGAAAATTTTAAAAGAAAAAGAAAAAAAAAAGACCAGGCGCTTTTAAATCCCGTTCTCCGCTGCCGGAGCACCGCCCCCGGGGAGGGGGCGGGCTGGGAGCGGGGTACCGCCCCCGGGGAGGACCCGCCGGGCCGGGCCGGGCCGGGCTGGG